CCTCTTCCCGGCCCAGGAGCTGACACGCTGAGCGATGGGAGTTCGGTGAGCCTGGAGGTGGGTCCCGGCAGTCGGGAGCCATCGGCGGCGTCGGCGGCCACACTGTCCCCTGGGGTGAGCGGCCGCAGCTGGGACGACAGTGACACCCGCAGTGAGCAGAGCTACAGCGAGTCGGGCGCCAGCGGCTCATCCTTCGAGGAGCTGGACCTGGAGGGCGAGGGGCCCCTGGGGGAGCCCAGGCTGAGCCCTGAGGCTGAGCCCCTGGGAGCTCCCAAGTGGCCCCGCGAGCTCAGTACCCCCGAAAGAGGGGAGGAGTAGCCGTGGCCCGTCCTCTGCTGCAGTCACTGAGGAACTGACCAGACTCTCCAGCCTCCTCCTCCTTCCGGGCCCAGGCGAGAGCCGGGGTCTCAGGGGACCTGACTTCAGCCCCGGCCTCCAGCCAAGCCCTGTCCTCACTGCCCTCTTGGCTCCCAGGGAGAAGGAGCAGGACTGTTCCCTGCCCCGGCCCGGGCTGCTGCCTCTGTTACATCTTTTTCAGATTCACATTGGAGCTTCCAGGAACCAGAATAAAGCAAAAGATTTTATTGTTTCACCTGGGGTTGTGCTGTGCATTTGTGTGTGTGTGTTCTACCTCGGGGAGCCCTGTGCAGAGAGGTGGGGTGTGGGCAGGAGCACCCCAGCCCAAGAAGAGGGAGGGGGACAGCACCATGGGGTGGGGGCAGACAGGGTTCCGGGAGGCCCTCCACTCCCTGCTCTGTGGCCCCGGTGCAGCTGCCCCTCCCTTGCAGCAGTGCCAGAGGCTCCAGGCTGCTGGAGAGCAGGACGAGGGGTGTGGGAACTGGGCACAGGGCGCCCCGGGCTCAGGAGTGGGGAGCTCACGGTCTGCCTTGGCCTGCCTGTAAGGGATGCATTCGTGTCTGTGGCTCGAGTGTGCCTGTGTTCATGCTGGCATCTGCCCCGCAGGTGAGGTGTCCCTGCTGTGCCCGCCCGTGTCTGCGTGCCTGCCTGTGTGCGTGCACACGTGCTCGTGCTTTTGATTCTGTGTGTGACCCTGGATGGGTCTGCTGGGGAGGCTGTGCCAAGGAGGCATAGGGGTGGCGTGTTCGTGTGGATGCTGTGTGACCAGGTGTGAGGCTGGCAGCGGGAGCATCACCGAGGGCCTATGCACATGCTGCTCTCTGTGTGTAGCTGTGTCTGCACAGCTGTATGTGTGGTATGTTCACGTGTGCAGTGTCTTTTTCTGTGTGTCTGCGTGAATACAGCTGTGTGTGATCACACAGGGCAGAGGGCAGTTGAACGAGCCTCAGGGGTGGCTCTATTATTCATGATGTGCTGTATGGCCATATGTTGGTGTCCGTGTGTACAGCCATATGTGTGTCCACATTTTAAAGCTGTGCATTATGTATGACCCAGCTGGCGTGGCACTATGGTTGAGCATCAACCTATGAACCAGGTAGTTACGGTTTAATTCCGGGTCAGGGCACAAACCCAAGTTGCAGGCTCGATCCGCAGTAGGGAGCCTGCAGCCGATCAAAGATTCCCTCTCATTGATGTTTCTCTCCCCCTTCCTCTCTGAAATCAATGAGAATATATTAAAAATAAAACAATAAAGTTGTGTATTAGGGCCGTGTCTGCATGTACAGCTCAGTGCTTGTGCTTACCTGCATTGCTACATATGGCCGCATCCACATGTGCAGCTCCGTAGGGCTACGTCTGTGACTGCATGTTCGTGTGCTGCCACAGGCCCTGCCATGGGGCGGGTGCTGTGTTCCATGCCTGTGAGCTGCCTGGTGAGCAGCTCCTCTCACCTCAGCACCCCGCTGCTGTCAGCCGCTCTGCCCAGGCCTGGCCCGTGGCTCACCCACCCCAGGGAGCAGGCCCTGAGCCAGCCCGCAAGGCGAGGTGAGAGCAGCGGGAGCGGGGAGACAGCCTGCCTCCCTCCCCAGCTGTCTGACAGCTCCGAACCCGCACCCGCTGCCCCATCGCCTCCCGTCAGCCGTGGGGTTTGATGGTCGGGTTTGATGTGTTTGTGTGTTCACAGCTGTGCTCTTTCCAGAGCAGTGGGGCATCAGGATTCTGTGTCCAGGCAAAAGCCTGTCCTTCCGTGCCGACGCTCTATCCCCGCCCCCCACCCCCCTGCAATTGCCACGCACCCGTAGATGTGTGTGCCTGTGGGCCTGGGCTTGGCATGTGCTCCTTAATGTGTGTCGGACCTGGCCTTGCCCCTGCGGACACCTGTGGAAGGAAGGGCAGCCCCAGGCAGCGTGTGGGGCTGCCGTGCGCTCAGCACGTGTCAGTGTGCGTGTGCGAGTGCTCGCTGGGGCAGGCCAGGGGCCCCTCCCGAGTCCCTCACACAGGCTGGCGCCGCAGCTTGTCCCCCACGTGCCCTGGGCCGCTGCCCTGGGCCGCCTTCCCTTTTCTGCGCAGGAGGAGCGTCCAGAGCATCTCGGAGCTGTCCTCCCTCCACCCCGGCGCCAGCCCCTGTTCCCTCCCACGGAGCCGCCTGTTCCAGGAGCCTCTTCCCCAGTCCTCGCCCTCCCAGATGCCCTGCCAACCCCGGCGTGTCCCTCGGGGACCTAGTCCCTGGCCCACAGACCCCCTCGGCCTTTGCACATGAGGGTGAGGATTGCTGTGGGGGTCAGGGCTGGGGGTGGGTGTGTTGGGGGAAGTAGCAGCTTAAAGGTCATTTGCAGGAAGGAAGAGGAGGCCCCCCCCTCCTCTGACCCCCCCCCCATCTCTTCCTCCGAGTGACTCAGGCCCAGCTCCCACATGGGGCTGAAGACACTGCCCCCGCCTGGGCCCGGCATGTGGACTAAACTGCTGTCCATGAGCGAGTGTGTGTGTGTGAGAGAGAGAGGGGAGGAGTGTGTGGATGTGAGGACAGGGACAGACTTGTCTGAGCCCTGGACCCTTCTCCCACGTGCCCCTTTGCCCCGGGACCCCAGGCCAGCCCCAGTGCCCTCACAGGTGGGAACCCTTAGCGCTTGCCCTGCTCCTGGGGCTCAGTGACCTTCCCAGCCCGGTGCCCATGCCCGCTGCCCTGCGGGACGGAGTATGACCGCGGGGCGGAGGGGGCCCAGGGCCGGTCCAGCCTGGCGGGAGCGGCGCGGATTCAGCACCAGGAGGCGGACAGCTCCGGGCGGAGGCCGGGAGGGAGCGGGAGGTGGGGAGGGCGGGCGGGGAGGGCCCGGGGGCGGGCCGGCCGGCGGGGGCGGGGCGGCAGCATGGAAAGCGGCGGCGGCGGGCGGAGAGCTCACAGCCGCCGAGCGGGCGGGCGAGCCAGTGGGAGCCGGAGCCCCGCGCCCGGCCGCTCTCCGCTCCTCTCCGCGCCAGAGCCGGGCGCGCAGGTAGGGTAAGCCCGTGGCTGCAGCCGACCTCCTGGCCCCCACGTCCCCGAGTCCCGTGGGCCCTCTGGTCCTGGGGCGCCCCGTCCCTGCCGGGGTACCCTCAAGCGGGAAGACAGCCCCGGGCTTCCCCCCGAAAACGCTCGCCCTGCCCGGCGCTCCCTCGTCCCTCCCCTTCGTCCCTCTGGTCCCCCGTCCTCTGGTCTGTCTGTCTGTGCCTCTTTGTCTCAGCCTCTCGGGCTGGACCGCTCCCTGCCTGGATTTTGGGGCCCAGGCCCCTGGGGCTGCCTGCTTGCAGGGTCCGTCTGCTCTCGGGGTTCGGTCCCCATCCCTCAGAGCTCTGTCCCTGCTGCCCCTGCCAGAGGCTCGTGGTATGACAGGTCTGGGCCTCAGCCCCCATCTGGGTCCCTGTCCCCCTCCAAGCGGGTCTCTGTGCTCCCCTCCCTCTCCGGTGTGCCTGGCCCCGCCAGGACCCCGGGCCCCCACCCTGGCACCGGCTGCAACCCAGCCCAGGGGAGGCGAGGGCCAGAGGGCAGGAAGCGCTCAGCCGGACGTGGGTCTTTGAGAGTTTCTGCCCTTCTTCGGGCTCAGGTCCCCTCTCCCGGCTCCCCAAGCTGCGTGGCTGCGTGAGCCGTGAGCCGGCGCAGGGCAGGGGTCTGGGAGGGCAGGGGCACGCGAGGGGTGCAGAGGGGGAGAGGAAGGGACGGTCTCTGAGGGCTGGGCTGGGCCGGGGGACAGGACCCTGAGGCTGCGGGTGGGGCGGCTGGAGACGTGACTTTGCTGGGTTCTGAGCTGGAGAGGAAGCGCAGGCAAAGTCCCAGAAGCTTCAGCGCAGAGCGCAGGGGGGAGCCTCGCCCTGAGCGGGCTGGGAGGTTCGGACCAGATGAGCCGTCCCCACCCAACGGACACACGCACCCCCACATCTACATCCTCGGCTGCCTCAGGACTGGGCCACTTGGCAGCCTCCCTGGGGCCCCCTGGCTGCCTAACTGCAGTGCCCAAGGTCTCTCGTACTCCCCCAGGCAGGGGGCGGGTCGGGGGGCTTTTGAAGAACCAGAGGCTAGGACCCGGGGGCTCACCTGGGCACCCACCGCCTCCCTGGGCCCTGGAGATGGACACCCTCTCCCCTGGCGGGCTCTCAGCCAGCAGCCGCGGCTCAGGGTGGGCACTGGGCCCGTCTGTAAGTTGGATCTGGTCTCTGCTGCAAAGTTGTTGACCTTGGGGTCCTGAGAGGTTAGTGAGGGTCCGGGACGCTCTTTGATTTGCGGGGAGATGGGTGTTGGCCGGGGTCTCCCGCCCGTTCTGCTGAGTCCAGGATGGACACAGGACCCGGGGCAGGGCAGGGCTGGGAGACCGGCTGGGGTGTCTCTGGAGCTCCTAGCCCGTCCGTGTCATCACTCTCCCGGCTCCTGAGTGCCTGGGGCAGCGGTTTGGGGGAGGCAGTCCTCAGGGGTAGCGGCTCTCAGATTCTGCTTCTCTCCGTCTGTCCGTCTGTCCGTCTGTCCGTCTGTTTCTCTCTCTGCAGGAGCTGGGCCTCTTCTCATCTTCCTTCCTGTCTGTCCGCTCCTGCTCCTCCTCTGCCTCTTTCTCTGCCTCTGCTGCCTCTGCCCTCACCCCCGGAGGCTCAGGTCTGCCCCCCCCCCCCCGCCTGGGGCCATGGGCGCACTGCTGGGGCTCCTGGCGCTGCTGCTGTGGGGCGCCGGGGCCGAGGGCCCGGCCAAGAAGGTGCTGACGCTGGAGGGGGACCTGGTGCTGGGCGGGCTGTTCCCGGTGCACCAGAAGGGCGGCCCGGCCGAGGAGTGCGGGCCGGTCAACGAGCACCGCGGCATCCAGCGCCTGGAGGCCATGCTCTTCGCGCTGGACCGCATCAACCGCGACCCGCGCCTGCTGCCCGGCGTGCGGCTGGGCGCGCACATCCTGGACACCTGCTCCAAGGACACGCACGCCCTGGAGCAGGCGCTGGACTTCGTGCGCGCCTCGCTCAGCCGGGGCGCCGACGGCTCCCGCCACGTCTGCCCCGACGGCTCCTACGCCACCCAGGACGACGCTCCCGCCGCCATCACGGGGGTCATCGGCGGCTCCTACAGTGACGTCTCCATCCAGGTAAACCGAGGCGGGAGAGAGAGGCCAGGGCGGGGACCCCAGATTCCTAATGGCCAGGGCTCTGGGCCGCCTGGCCCTGGAGGAGGAACTAGGAGCTTCCTTGGTGTGGCTCTTTACCGGGGCTGAGAAAGGGCCCCGTCACATGGGGGCCCAGCTTTAGAGACTGTGAGGGGAAACATCACCCTCCCATCACCCCCCCCCCCACACACACACACACCTGATGTTCAACAGCCCCAAGAAGGTAGTACCAGGCCTCTAGAGTCAGAGCTGCAGGTTTGAATCCCAGCCCCTCCCCCTCCAACCCCCCTTTCCCACTTACTGCGTGGCTCTGGGCACCACTTCCCTCTCCTGTGCCTCAGTTTCCCCTCATAAAGCGGGACTCACAGCATTTGCCTCACTGAGGGTTGTGGTGGGCACGTAATGAAGGAACACGTGCCCAGCATGTATCAGGGGGGCTGGCGGGTCCGGAGGGCATGGTCAGTACTGGCTGCTGCTCTTATTATTAACCCATTTCATAGTCGGGGAAACTGAGGCTTGGAGAGAGGCAGCCATACGCCAAGGCCCTCGCATCGTGGCGAGGGATACCCAGGGCTCTCAGCCAAGGGCCTGGGACCCGTTAGATCCTCTCTCCGTGGATTGGAAAGTGGGGGAGAGGAGGGAGAGAGAAGCCAGGAGCAGCCCCGAGGGGAGAAGCAGAATGTGTGGTGCTGGGAGGGCCCCCTCAGCCTCCCCTGCTCTCCCCGGGTCCTCGGGGAGACAGCACTGGTGGGGCAGGTCCAAGCCCCGGTGGGAGAGGGGCTGCCAGGCGGCCGGTGGGGCGCCGGGGAGACCCGGCCGTGGGCTCTCGGCCATGGGGGCCCTCAGATCCAGGACTTCCTTTTCCTCCTTCCTCCATCATCCCACCAGGGCTGACTCTGGGAAGGTTACTGCCCAGACAGGTGGAGGGCGTACAGCCCTGAGCATCCCGAGGCCATCTGGCGCCCTCCTCCTCCCGAGCAGCCGAGCGCCAACCTCTCCCCCAGGCTGGGCCCGCCGTGGCTCCCCCGTGGGCGACGGCATGGGCCACGTGCCATGTGCCTGAGGGGGCAGCTCAGGAGGCCCAGGGCCCTGTGCTCGGCCGGGCCCCTCTCCCGGCCCCTGGGAAGGGGTAGGAAATGGGGGGGGGGGGCAGCGGCGAGCCACAGCCACACAGGATCCGGGTCTTTGGGGAGCGGTGGTGACCTCACGGCCGACCACATGAACATTGACCCCGAGGTCGGACAGCAGTGGGGACACCTCTGTCTCTGACCTTTGCCCCCTCTGCCCCCCCGCCCCCGCAGGTGGCCAACCTCCTGCGGCTGTTCCAGATCCCGCAGATCAGCTACGCGTCCACCAGCGCCAAGCTGAGCGACAAGTCCCGCTACGACTACTTCGCCCGCACGGTGCCCCCCGACTTCTTCCAGGCCAAGGCCATGGCCGAGATCCTGCGCTTCTTCAACTGGACCTACGTGTCCACCGTGGCCTCCGAGGGCGACTACGGCGAGACGGGCATCGAGGCCTTCGAGCTGGAGGCCCGCGCCCGCAACATCTGCGTGGCCACGGCCGAGAAGGTGGGCCGCGCCATGAGCCGCGCCGCCTTCGAGGGCGTGGTGCGCGCGCTGCTGCGCAAGCCGGGCGCCCGCGTGGCCGTGCTGTTCGCCCGCTCCGAGGACGCCCGCGAGCTGCTGGCCGCCGCCCGGCGCCTCAACGCCAGCCTCACCTGGGTGGCCAGCGACGGCTGGGGCGCGCTGGAGAGCGTGGTGGCCGGCAGCGAGGCCGCGGCCGAGGGCGCCATCACCGTGGAGCTGGCCTCCTACCCCATCGGCGACTTCGCCGCCTACTTCCGCGGCCTGCACCCCGGGAACAACAGCCGGAACCCCTGGTTCCGCGAGTTCTGGGAGCAGCGCTTCGGCTGCAGCCTCCGGCGGCGCGGCTGCGAGGCCCACTCGCTGCGGGCCGTGCCCTTCGAGCAGGAGCCCAAGGTCGTGTTCGTGGTGAACGCCGTGTACGCCATGGCCCATGCGCTGCACGGCATGCACCGCGCCCTCTGCCCCAACACCACCCGCCTCTGCGCCGCCATGCGGCCCGTCCGCGGCCAGCGCCTCTACAAGGACTTCGTGCTCAACGTCAAGTTCGACGGTAACGGCGCCCGTGGGCGGGGGCGGGGGGGGCAGGGCGGGCGGCGGGGATGGCGGGGGGGGGCAGGGCGGGCGGCGGGGATGGCGGGGGGGGGGCAGGGCGGGCGGCGGGGATGGCGGGGGCGGGGGGGGCAGGGCGGGCGGGGGGGGGCGGGGCGGGCGGCGGGGGTGGGGGGGGGCAGGGCGGGCGGCGGGGGGGCAGGGCGGGCGGCGGGGATGGCGGGGCGGGGGGCAGGGCGGGCGGCGGGGGGGCAGGGCGGGCGGCGGGGGGGGCGGGGGGGCGCAGGGTGGGCGGCGGGGATGTCAAAGGGCGGGGAGGGCAGGCCTTTGGGGTGCAGGGCTTGGCCATGGAAATAGCCAACAGCAAGTGAGGGACTCTCAGGACCCGGCGGGACAGGGATAATGGGGGGGGGGGGCCCTGAGGGGGACCGGGACGAGGTTCCACTTGCAGAGACCTCTCTGGAGAGGGGGCGTCTGGCAGCCCTGCACTGGGGGGTCTCTGGTTCCTGCGGGGCGTGTCCCTCCCGCTCCCCCCTCCGCACGCAGGCACAGGGGCCGGGAGACCCCGAGCCTGTTCCCAGGCAGAGAACCTGCCGTGAGTCGGGGTCAGGCGGGCGGAGAGTGAGCCTCAGGTGACAGACACCTCGTTTTCCTGCGCAATGTCTCTCCCTCCTCCTGATTTTCCACTCGAGCCAAAGGTTATGCTAAGACAAGTTCCAGTTTTGAGGGACAGGAGTGCTTCCGGAAGGATCCCCGGGGGACAGGGAGGGAGGGGTGCGGGGTCAGGATGAGTCGCCATGCCAACAAGATTGGCGTTTGGAGTTCTAGGAGAATCAGGGTCTGGGCCGGCTGGTGCGGGCACAGGGCCGGCTGGTGTGGGCACAGGGCCGGCTGATTCGGGCACAGGGCCGGCTGGTGTGGGCACAGGGCCGGCTGGTGTGGCGTGGTGGGAGGGAGGGGGGCTGCAGGGACCTGATGGGGCTCCAGGCTGCACCCTTCCCCACGGGCCTCCAAGCACATCAGCTGTTGCTTGAGCCCTGATTTCTCCCGGGGACCCAGGATGCCAGGGGGTTGCCCCCTGAGTGTGGCTGGCAGACTTGAGGTTCACGGGGTAGGAAGGTGGTCTGTGAGCTGCCTGCCAAGCACACTCGGGGGACCCTCAGTGGTTAAGGGGGCTGCTGACGTTGGGGTTCAGCTCCCACTGGTAGGACTGGTGAGGCTGGAGTTGGGTTGTCAGTTGGGGGGACTTAGCGGGGCCAGGACTGGACCTTTGGCCCAGGTCGGCTTTGGGGTGTCAGGGTTATGTTAGGGGAGACGGACGTGTGTGTTGGGGCCAGGTCTGGGGCTGGGTTTGGGGGAGCTATGACTGGGGGTCACTGTGGATTTTAAGGTTGTGGTAACGCCTGGGTTTTAAGATCGGGTCTCCTTGGGGCTTAGGGTTGGGGTTTGTTGCAGCCTCTCATTTTTAGCCAGCCTGCGGGGGGCAGGGCCGCTTCCGTGCGTGCGTGCGTGTGTGCGTGTGTGTGTGTCAGCAGGACGGGGACCGCCCTCAGCTCTGGGGCTCGGGGCTCCGCGCCGGGGTGGCCCGCCAACCCGGCCCCCTCGGCCCTCCCTCCCGCCCCCCAGCCCCCTTCCGCCCGGCCGACACGCACAGCGAAGTCCGCTTCGACCGCTTCGGCGACGGCGTCGGCCGCTACAACATCTTCGCGTTCCTGCGGGCGGGCGGCGGGCGCTACCGCTACCGCAAGGTGGGCTACTGGGCGGAGGGCCTGACGCTGGACGCCAGCCTCATCCCCTGGGCCGCGCCCTCCGCCGGCGCCGGCGGCGCCCCGCCCGCCTCCCGCTGCAGCGAGCCGTGCGGGCGGCACGAGGTGAAGAGCATGCAGCCCGGCGAGGTGTGCTGCTGGCTCTGCATCCCCTGCCAGCCCTACGAGTACCGGCGGGACGAGTTCACCTGCGCCGACTGCGGCCTGGGCTACTGGCCCAACGCCAGCCTCACCGGCTGCCTGGAGCTGCCGCAGGAGTACATCCGCTGGGGCGACGCCTGGGCCGTGGGGCCCGCGGCCCTCGCCTGCCTGGGCGCGCTGGCCACGCTCTTCGTGCTCGGCGTGTTCGTACGGCACAACGCCACGCCCGTGGTCAAGGCCTCGGGCCGCGAGCTCTGCTACATCCTGCTGGGCGGCGTCCTGCTCTGCTACGGCATGACCTTCGCCTTCCTGGCCAAGCCCTCGGCCGCCGTGTGCGCCCTGCGGCGCCTCGGCCTGGGCACCGCCTTCTCCGTCTGCTACTCCGCGCTGCTCACCAAGACCAACCGCATCGCCCGCATCTTCGGCGGCGCCCGCGAGGGCGCCCGGCGCCCGCGCTTCATCAGCCCCGCCTCGCAGGTGGCCATCTGCCTGGCGCTCATCGCCGGCCAGCTGCTCATCGTCACGGCCTGGCTGCTGGTGGAGGCGCCGGGCACGGGCAAGGAGACGGCGCCCGAGCGGCGGGACGTGGTGACGCTGCGCTGCAACCACCGGGACGCCAGCATGCTGGGCTCGCTGGCCTACAACGTGCTGCTCATCGCGCTCTGCACGCTGTACGCCTTCAAGACCCGCAAGTGCCCCGAGAACTTCAACGAGGCCAAGTTCATCGGCTTCACCATGTACACCACCTGCATCATCTGGCTGGCCTTCCTGCCCATCTTCTACGTCACCGCCAGCGACTACCGGGTGAGCGGGGGGCTCCCCCACGGGCGCCGGGCCGGGGGGCGGGCGCCGGCTCCTGCTGCCGGCGGCTCAGCCTCCTCCTGACCACACGGAGGCTCCCGCAGGTGCGGGCGCGGCTGGGACAGACCCTGAGGACGGTGGGAAGGCGGAGGGGCCGGGGGAATCGGCCCAGGACACGGAGGAGGAGAGGGGGCTGAGCCGACGTGAGGACTCATCCCCTGATGGGAGGGTGGGGGAGGGGGGAAGGGGAGGGACGGGGGGTGCAAACTGTGTCCAATGAGCAGAGGCTCTGCCCCGCTCCGCTGAGGTTGGTGAAGAGGGGAGACCCTGGGGGGCGGGTGGAGGTGAGGCTCGGGGCGAGGGGGTGGAGAGCCAAGTCAGGAAATGCTGCCGACCGGGGTAGGTTGACAAAGGCCCCCGTGAGGGTGCAGAGAGAGAGGGAGGGAGGGAGAAGCACTGATGGTCGTGTGCGCCCTGACCGGGGACTGAACGGCCGCCTGGGGACGTGCCCCATGGGATCGGACCCCCACTCTCTGGAGAATGGAGGGACGCTCCCCCGGCCCCGCCCGGCAGGAACGCTCCCTGGAGGGGCAGTCCCTCCCCAGGCCCCGGCGGCTCTGAGCAGGAGGGTGCAGACTGGAGCAGAAGACGGGCACTGCCCCTGAAGCGAGGAGGGAGGCACATGTGGAGGCAGGGCGGCAGAGGGGCAGGTGGAGACCTGGAGTGCAGGGAGGGCCGGGGGGCAGGCAGCTCCGGTGGGCACCCTCTCTGTCACCAGGGAGCCTGGCAGGGAGGCTCAGTCCCCTGGGCTGTGTCCCTCTGGGCTGAGAGATGGAACCAGGGGAGGTGGGGAGGAGAAGCAGGGAGGAGGGCAGGGGCAGGGGCGGGGGGCAGGGGCAGGGACTGGCATGGCAGGAGGACCCCAGTGGCAGCTGCAGGCTCCTCAGGGCTCAGGGAAGGCCCATCTGCAGAGGCCACGGGGGAGCTGGGCTGAGTGGGAGCAGGATGGTCTCAGCGACCCCTCCGGAGTGAACCCCATGGCTTTCTGTTTTATAGACAAACCTGGGCACTCAGGGAGGTTCAGGCCCTTCCTGGGGGCACTCACTCCGCGTGAGAGTGTAGAGCAGGGTCTGAACTGACAACCTTTACAGTTAAAGGAGCAGAAGACCCAGGCCAGAGCCCTGCCCAGGCCCTGCCCCGGCACAGAGGTAGGCGGCGGTGTGGGGCCCGTCTGCTGGGCTTGGCTGCTGCACCTGCCGGGCCACCTGCCTGGGCGGTGGGGCCAGCGCTGGGGGCGTGGCCTCACTCTGCTGTATTTGCATAGGATCTGCATGCCCGGCTAAGGGCTTACCTGAGACAGTACTCACATGTGCATTGGTACACACACACACACACACACACACGTATTTCTACACTCACACACATGTGCACATGTCAGTCCACCTGGCACGCACCACTCCTGCACCTGCACACACTCCCCACCCCCTCCATACACATGCCCAGCAGATACTCGCACACATGCCCTCCATACCTGCGTCCCTCCACACACACACACTCACACACACTCACACACATGCACACACGTGCGCAACACGCTCCCACACGTACACGCTCCCCTGCACGATCCCCCCACGGCTGGCACCCGCACTCCCTGGGAAGACGCCCACTGGGGCGGGTGCTGGCCCGGCCCAGCTTTCCCAGAACCCTCCGGGCTTGGCGAGCGGGCCCAGGCCCGTGCTGGACGCTTACCGCCTCGCCCACTCCCTGCCCCGCAGCCTCGGCGGGCGGGGGCCCGGGGCCGGGCGGGGGCGGGACGGCTCACCGAGGCTGCTCCCCGCAGGTGCAGACCACCACCATGTGTGTGTCCGTGAGCCTCAGCGGCTCCGTGGTGCTCGGCTGCCTGTTCGCGCCCAAGCTGCACATCATCCTCTTCCAGCCGCAGAAGAACGTGGTCAGCCACCGCGCGCCCACCAGCCGCTTCGGGAGCACCGCTGCCCGGGCCGGCCCCGGCCCCGGCCCCGGCCAAGGTCAGCGCCCCCCACACCCTCCGCCTGCGCCCCCCGCCTGTGCCCTCCGCCTGTGCCACCCACCTCCCCTCCGCCTGTGCCCTCCGCCTGTGCCCTCCGCCTGTGCCCCCCACCTCCCCTCCGCCTGTGCCCCCCGCCTGTGCCCCTCCGCCTGTGCCCTCCGCCTGTGCCCCCCACCTCCCCTCCGCCTGTGCCCCCCACCTCCCCTCCGCCTGTGCCCCTCCACCTGTGCCCCCTGCCTGTGCCCCCCACCTCCCCTCCGCCTGCGCCCCCCGCCTGTGCCCTCCGCCTGTGCCACCCACCTCCCCTCCGCCTGTGCCCCTCCGCCTGTGCCCCTCCGCCTGTGCCCCCCGCCTGTGCCCCCCACCTCCCCTCCGCCTGTGCCCCCACCTCCCCTCCGCCTGTGCCCTCCGCCTGTGCCCCCCACCTCCCCTCCGCCTGTGCCCCCACCTCCCCTCCGCCTGTGCCCCCACCTCCCCTCCGCCTGTGCCCCCTCCCTCAGCATGCGCTGCTCCTGGGCTGCCGCTGGGCACAGGCGGGGGGGGGGGCCCTCCGTGGAGGACGGGGTCAGCCCCCCCTCCAGCTCCCCCTCCCTAGGGCCCGCCTCTCCGAGTGTCCCCACCGTCTGCAACGGCCGCGAGGTGGTGGACTCCACGACGTCGTCGCTCTGAGGACCCCTCGCCCTCGGCACAGCGGCTCCCGGACGGACAGACGGACGGACGTGCAGGCGTGACGTGACGAGCCGAGAGGGACTGGCCGGAGCACTGCCAGCAGCCGTCCCACACCGCCCCCCCACCGCCCCCCAGCACCTGCCCCCCACACCGCCCCCTCCTCACCCCGCCCTTCAGCCCTTCAGCGTCAGAGGCCGGGTCCTTGGCCTCTGCAGCCCCACCCACTGCCCTGGCCCGACCCAGGCCCAGGAGGGGAGGGAGCAGCCAGGGTGCCCTTGACCTTGGACCGCGGCTGCGGAGGCTCCCCAGTCAGCAAAGGTGCTTCCAGCCCTGCCCCCTCTCCTCCTGGGCCTTTTACGTTTTCTGTTATCCTGGGGGCGGGTGAGGGGCTGCCCTCCCCTGCACAGTAGCGTGTCCTGCGGTTCATTCTGTGTTCCTGTAAATAGGCGTCTGTTTTAAAGCGGCCTCCGGCCCTCCGCCCAGGGGGGTCTTGCACCAGCCCAGCCTACAGCCTCCTCGCAGCCGGCGTGGGCGCCGCTCTGGCCTGATGCTGGGGGGACAGAGTGAATAAGCCTCCCTCCCTCCCTCTCTCTCTCTCTCTCTATTTTTTTAAACAAGATTTTGCTGTAGTTTTTACTCATCCTCACCCGGGTATATTTTCCTGCTGATCTTTATAGACCGTGGGAGGGTGGAGGAGAGCGAGAGGAACATCGAGGCAAGAGAGACGGGGCGGCTGGTTGCCTCCCGCACTCCGGGACCCAGCCCGCAACCGAGGTGCACGCCCGTAACCGGAATCCATGCCAGGACCCTCACCTGCGGGCCGACGCTCTGTCCACTGAGCCAGCCTGGCCAGGGCAGGCCACTGCCCTTAAAAGCAGCCACTGCCTGCCCTGGATGGTTTGCTCAGTGGATAGAGCATGGGCCTGTGGACTGAGGGGTCCCGGGTTCAATTCCAGTCAAGGGCACATGTCCGGGGTGCGGGCTCGGTCCCCTGTGTGGGGCGTGTAGGAGGCAGCTGATCCATGATTCTCTCTCATCATTGATGTTTCTACCTCCCTCTCCCTCTCCCGATCTCTATAATCAATAAAAATATATTTAAAAAATAGAAAAGGAGCCACTGCAGACTGGCTGAGGCACTGCGGGGCATGGCAGCGGGTTACGTGGGCGGCCTGGATGGGTGGGCGCCGGGCCGGGCCGGAGGGCGCTGGCTGTGCCGGGAGGTGCCCCGGACTGTGGGCTCTGCCCGGCGGGCCTGCCTGCCACCGGGAGGAGCCCCGCCCCACGGTGAGGAAGGACGGGACCAGGTGCGAACAGAGCCAGAGGAGCCCGCGGAGGGTGGGATGGGCGGTGAGGCAGAGGTGGCGGGGGGGGGGGGGGGGGGCCGCGGCCGTGGGCTGTGGGCAGGGGAGCGGGGGGAGGGGAGGGCCTGCTCCCTGGGACCTCCCCGCTGTGCAGGCAGAGGGCGCCGAGGCACAGTCTCCACGCGGGGCGGGGGGGGGAGAGGGGGGCTCAGATAGGGACCACCGAACCCGAACCCAGACAGCGGAGAGGCGGCAGCTCCCGGGCGCCCAAGCCCTGCCCCGGCAGGAGGGGAGGGGGCAGGGGCGGATCTCAAGGAAATGGAGAGGCAAAGAGGGGCCACAGAGCGTCCAGAGCCCTCCGGGAATGTACCCCCCAACCTCCACAGAACCAGGAAAGCAGCCTCCCACACCCCCGGGCCAGCCGCTGCACGCCAGGTCGGGGTTCTCTGTCGGGGGGCGGGGGGCGGGGGGGGGGAGAATCTGGGGACGCAGGAGGGGAGGGGTGGGGATTAGTGGGAGGGGACGGTGAGAAAAGGGACATGAGGAAGGAAGTGTGTTTAGGGAAAATTACTTCATTCTTCCTGTAAACATACGATATGCTCCTTGTATTATCGTTGTGGTTGTTGATCTTCCCCCGAAGATAAATTTTCATTGATTTTTAGAGCGAGTGGAAGGAAGGGAGGGAGAGAAAGAGAGAAACACTGATGTGAGAGAGACACATCCATGTTTCTACCTCCCCCACCCTGTAAACAGTCGAAGCCGGGCGCCGAAAGGAAACAGAAATCCCGCCTGGAGCCGCCGCCTCCGAATAGCAGCACCGTCAGCGCAGGGCGGCCGCCGAGACAGGCGCTGCGCCTTCAGAGCCTGCTACCGTGGGCCCGGCCATATGCCTGTTTTCCTTTTCCGTGGCACGGTTTAATTTTACTCGGTTCTCTCCGAAGATGGAGCAGCGTGGAAAGCAGCCAGCCTGGCATGCCCGGACCCAGCCATGGGAGCTGGGCACACAGCACAGGGGCCAGGAGGCTGCCCTGGGCCGGGGTGGGCTGCCCGCAGGTGGGCGTGCCTCCCTCGGGGTCCCCGTGCCTCTGGGGCCCGGAGGGGCCTGGGCTCCCCGGCCTGGATCCCTTCTCCGCGAGAAATAAATAAACTTGGGGTCAGGAGGCCCCCTGTCCTCTGAGAGGCTGTCGCCGGGTCTGCAGCACCCTCTGGCTGCCATCAGCGGAACGTTCTTATCTCCCTCCTGTCCCTGCGGCCGTCCCAGGCTCAGACCCTGAGGACCGGCGTTAGGGGGTGGACACTGTCCAGCTTGACGGACAGGTTCTGTTTTGTAGCAGCTACCTGCTTCGTGGTTTCATGTTCATTCTTTGTCTAACGTACCTGCAGGTCACCCCATCCCCTTCCTTCCGCTTCCCGCCCCTGAGTTCCACGCTTCCTGGGCGGTTGGCGCTGGCCTGCCCTGTCCCTGCCCCACCTCTGCCTCCTCCGCACAACAAGGCCCGCCGTGCGGCCAGCATCGCCTCCACCTGCCCCATCAGCATCCTCCCGCCAGGTAGAGCCACAGAGGCCGAGGCCGGCACATCCCCTGGGCTGGGACAGCCTTCCCTCAGCGGCTCCAGACTGGCCGCGGGGTTCAGGGCCAGGCCTATCTGCCCCAGAGGAAGCAGGAGCCCTAGCCGGGCCCGGGGGCCTCTCTGCATCCCCCGGGGGCCCATGTCTGCACCCCCTGGGAGGCCATGTCCGCTGCAGGCTGGGACCCCGACACTCACACCCTCGCCGGGCAGGGTGGCACCTCCAGGCTGGGCCTGCAGAGCCCCCTCACGCTCAGCTCAGCTGCAGACCTCCCCTCCTGAAGGTCCCCTGGCACAGCGAGGTGCCTGCCGCATCGCTGCCATTGCAGCTGCCTGGGGGCGGCGCTGATGGAGCCTGAACCTGCCACAGCTGCTCTGCAGACCCCTGCCCTGCACCCCACACACACACTCCTGCACACGTGCACATGCACACTCAACACATAGGCATACATGTGCATACTCACACACACACACACACACACACACACACACACACGCACACGCACGCACACTGGCCCGGGGAGGGGAAGCTGGCTGGCCGGGAGGCACCGCAGCACTGACCGCGGCCTTGCCAGGCCGTCCATCCCACAGCGCGGGGAGGGCCTGCAGCGCGGGCCCCTGGGAGGCGGGCTCAGGGACAGACCTCCGAGGGCACAGGCTGAGAGCAGGGGCGACAAGCAGAGACGGAGATCAGACACAGAGATGGCGAGCCACCAGCGCCGAGGGAACAGGAGGCCCCGCGGAGCTGAGCCCCAGCTCCCCGCGCAGCCCTGCAGGGCGTGTGGCCCCCAGGACCGCTCGGGGGCAGAGGCGATCTGGGTGCGGGCGGGAGGGGGCAGCCAGCACAGCTGCCTCTGAGGAGGTGGCAGCAGAGGCTGCACCCCGAATGCATGGCCTTCCCCCGAGCCCAGCCTAGCTCCCCTCTGCTAGTCCCCCCTTCCCCCCCCACGCCTGGTTCTCCCGCTGCGGGGGAGGGAAGTCTTGTCTCCCAGGCCCCCCAGAGGGGGAGGGGGAGGAGAGTGGCGGCCACAGCTGCTGCTCCCAGCCCTGTCCTGGCCTCCGCAGGCGGCTCTGTCCTGCTGTTACTCAGCTGGGGTGCCCGTCCACCCACCCGCTCCCCCCGCCCCCGTCCCACCACGCACAGGCCTGCAGGACCCAGGCCTCCCGCTGCCCCTCCTTTCCCGGAGGCGATGCCTGGGGGCGGAGGGGGCTGCAGAGAAGCCAAGCCGGGGCCTCCCGGGCGTGGGGCGGGGCTGGGTCGGACCGGCGCGGGGTCTGAGCCTGACCTGGGCCCTGGGGTCTCTCTTCGGTGCCGGACCGGACCGGTTTGCACGAGGAGCCAGGGCCTGGGGAGTCTCTTTGGGATGGAAGCAGCAAGGCCAGCGGCCAATCCCTCTTCCCTGGGTCTGACTCTCAAAGGGCGTGTTTTTTAAAATATATATACTTTTTTAATTGATTTCAGAGAGGAAGGGAGAGGGAGAGCGAGCGAGAGAAACATCCGTGAGGAGAGAGAATCACAGATCCGCTGCCTCCTGCAGGCCCCCACTGGGGATCGAGCGGAAAGGAAGGCACCGTGACCTCCTGGTTCAAAGGTCAACACAACCTCGGAGCCTCGGCCCGGCAGTAAGCATCTTTATTGGGAGAGAGATCCAGCCCCCTGGCGCCGCCGGCGGGCGCCCTAGGCCATGAGGATTTCGATGTCCAGCTGCAGGCGGCTGGCCTTGACCTCATAGCAGCCCCGGAGCAGGCCGCGGGCCTGGCTGGCGTGCCAGCGCCAGTGGGACTGGATGGTGCAGGCGGCCTGGCGGGCCTGCAGGAAGCGCCGGCGCGCCTGCCACATGCGGACCTGGGCCTGGACCTTCACCACCGCCCACTCCTGGCAGGTGTAGAGCCGCAGCGCCAGGCGCCGCCTCTGCTCCAGCGCCTTGGCCTGCGCCGCCCGCCACCAGCACTGGATGGCCCAGGCCCGCAGCGCCGCCTGCAGCAGCGTCTGGCGCACCCGGCTGCCGCGCCACCAGGCCTGGATCCTCACGGCCGCCTCCTCGCGCTGCAGGCCGGGAGGGAGAGCCGGAGAGGCCGTGTGAGGTCCCGGCCGCGGGGAGGGGGCCCGGCCCGGGCCCTGCCCTCGCACGCCCCGCCCGGGGCCCCTCCGTCCGCTCCTCCACCCTCCGCTCACCTGGAGACACTGCTCGCCGCGCCCCGGGCAGGGCCCTCCGCTCCGGGCCCTGCTCACCTGTCCTGTGTCCATGGCCCTGGTCTTTAGACTCGCTCCCCCAAGGTCAGGGGGGTCCCCCTGGTCTTCGGCCCCGCCCTCAACTGTTAGGCACCGCCTCCGGGACTCCGCCCACCTGCTCCCCGGCTCCCGGCCCCGGCTCCGGGCCCCCGGCCCCCGGCCTGTGCAGGGCATGCAGCCAGGTGAGGTCTGACCCCATTCCAGGCGTGTCTCTCCCTCCTTGGCGTCTCTCACCCGGGACCAGCGGCCTGATTGCTGGTTCCTGGAGCTGCGGGGCCTGCCCTGACCTTGTGCCCTCAGACGCAGCTGGTCACTCCAGTTCCACTCTTTCCCGCTCCGGTCACTTCTGGTGGCTGCTGCCGAGGGCAGGGAGGAGCGGGTCCGCAGTGTCCCTCCCGGCAGGGGCTTTCCCGGGGGAAGGAAGACTCCTGTCCGGCGTGGATCCCGGGAGGGGCCTGTGTGTCCCCGGCAGCGAGGGTCTGTCCGGCTCCTGAGAGGGGTCTGAGCTGCAGCGGGAGGGGCCTCCGTGCACCCCCCCCGGGCTCCCGGCCGCCCCCCGCGGGTGCGCAGGGGCTGCGGCGGGCGCTGGGGCTGCCTGAGGGGCGCTGAGCCGGACGCCTGAGCGTAGTTGGGGTTGGATTTACCGGGCTCACAGGCCCCTGGAACGGACCCGCCGTCCAGGCCGGGCCGCCATGAGGCCTCCTCCGCGGGACGCAGGGACGGCGGTGCGGACAGGACGTGGCCGTGACGGCTCCCGAGGACGGACGGGCAGGGGAACGGTGAGGTTTGGAAGCCCGGGGACAAAGGCTGGTCGGCAGACACCCCCCCCCCCCCCCCCCCCGCAGACAGGCACCCTCCCCACCCCGGCTAGGCTGTACGTACGTGATTATTATTCCTTAAAGTATTACACACGTCTCCTTTCCCCACCGTGGACCTCTCCCCGGCCGCTCCCACCCCAGCACACGCCCTCACCCCGCCTGCCGGTGTCCACGGGCTGTGCTCACACGCATGCACACGCGCTGTGGTGGTCCAGGAAACAGCTCTCGCTGCAGCCATCCTGTACCGGCCCAGGGACGAGTCCGGGGGCTCTGACTTTCCTTTTCCTCACGACTAAGGAGCGTCCCCCGTGCGGCCGGCCACCTGCGGACTCCTTCTGAGAAGAAGGGCTCGTTCCAGCATGCGGCTCCCGCCCTGACCCCGTTCGCTCAGTGGATGGAGCGTCGGCCTGGGCACTGAAGGGTCCCGGGTCCGACTCCCAACTCGTTCTTCCGGATCTTTTGGTTCCTTGGCGTCCGTGTGCTTGAGTCCCGGTTGGCAGAGGGTAAATGGTCTCCGACGTGGTTTTCGCCAGCCGGCCGGCCGGGACGGGTGAAGCTTGGGCGCTCTCTATGCCCACGGCCGGCGTTGGGGAGCCTCACACCGTCAGCCGCGGGCTGGGCACGGACGGAGGAAAGGGATGGAGGGCCATTTGCACATGTTTTCACCCAAAAGGCCTCCACGGAGGGGCTGCACGCTGGCCCCCGAGTCACAGGGGCCCTTATGACATCATACTGCCCTCCCACCTCCTCTCTCCCTGCCGGAGCCAGGCGGGAGGAGAGCAGACCTGGGAGCGCCGGACCACCACGCTGGGCCATGGAGCCTTGCGGGAGGGGATAGAGACCTGGGGGATTGGAACCACCGACTTCCTCATCATGGGCCTCCGGTTTTGCGTAAGCGCGGCCAGTCCCCTCGGTGCCGGTCGGGGAAGGTGCACCCCCGGGACCGCGGGAGGCCCCCCCGCATCGAGGGTGTCTGGGCGGGGGTGGGGGGTGGGGGCATGATCCAGGCACAGGGCCCTGCGGAGACCCGCCCGCCACGCCCTCCTCCGGCTCTCGCTGCAGAAGGAGGGCCATCTGATGCAGGTGATAGTAGAAGAGCATGAGGACATCACCCTGCTGATTCTGCAAGAGGGAGAAGCTGTGGAAGCACACCCACCCCCTCCCATTGCCCCGGTAGGCCAGGGGACCTCGGCGTGAGGGTGACGGGGACCCCAGCCCGCACCCGTCTCGCCCAGTCGCCCGGCCATGGTGGGACGTCCTCTCTGAGGCCACAGCACGGGGGGCTCGGGCACTGGTCCCCCAACCAGGCTGCCCTGTGCTGGGGTGGTCCTCAGGGACGGCCGCACACACCGAGGAGGCCAGGCCCCCCGCTGCCAGTCATCCCACCCAGAGCGGACGCGTCCCTGGCTCCCCTCCTCCTGGCGCCTGGGTGCTGAGAAAGGGGGTGCTGAGAGAGACCCTGAGAGTCGCTGCAGGGAGGAGAGACCTGGCAGGGAGCGGGGTGCTGGGGGCTGTGCAGGGGGAGGCGTGGCCAGGTAAAGGGGAGCCCACGTCCCACAGGGTGTGGGCGTGTGGGCAGGCACGTGCCCCGGGTGTGCACGCTGAAGGTGTGAGAACCCGGGAATGTGTGTGAGCAAGAAACCAGAGAGACACCACCCTGAGGAGCAGGGAAACCCCCAGCACTTGGCAGAGGGAGGAGGGTGGGGAGGAGCTGGAAGGGGCACGAGAGGCGAGCCTGGGGGCACCAGTCTGCAGCTGGGAGGGGTGGGGGGAAGCCCTGCGCTCAGGCAGGAGGCGGAGCCGGGGGGGGCGGGGACATGCTGGCCCTTCGCCCTGAGCCCATGGTGCTCTCTGTCCAAGGACCTGGGGAGGACTCGGGCAGGGGAGCCCCGGGCACAGGTGGGGACCCTGAGTCTCAGAGGCCCTGTGGCCTGCCCATGTCCTCTCCCAGAGCCTATGTGATCCTCTCCCTGTGCCACGCCCAGTGCCCCTGAACCTAACCGGGGCAGGGGCTGCGGCTGACAGGGGACCAGGACCCCTTCCTGGCACCTCCTGGGCTGGGGGGGTGGGGAACAGGTCCCGAGTGTCCCTTCCTTTTTCTCGCTAACCCCCTCCCCCCCAAGGTAAAGAAGCCGCCGGCTGATGAAAACGAGAGAGCCAAGCAGATCCAGGCCTGGTGGCGGGGCACGCTGGTGCGCCGGACGCTGCTGCTGGCCGCGCTCAGCGCCTGCGTCGTCCAGCGCTGGTGGCGGCGGGCGGCGCGGGCGCTGCCCTGGCTGAGGCAGAAGAGGCAGCGGGCGCTGCTGACCCGGCAGACCTGGGCGGCCGTGCGGCTGCAGGCCTGGGTCCGCATGTGGTGCGTCCGCCTGCGCTACTGTCGCCTGCTGCAGGCCGCCCGCATCATCCAGGCCTACTGGCGCTGCCACAGCTGCCACGGCAATGGCTTCCTCCGGGGCCGGTACAAGCTCATGGCGAACAAGCTGGGGCTGGAGCTGGAGATCTTCCTGGGCTCACAGATTTGCCGGATCACAGAGTGCATCCCCTTCCCAATAAAGAACTGACCAGGTCTGCTCCACCCCCGGGTCCCCGCGTCTCTGTCAGACAAGCCCCAGGAGGTGCCCGCCTCCGGGAAGGAGAGAGAAGCCGATGGTGGTCCCGGCGTCTCCCGGGTCAGCCTGGAGGCAGCGGCCGGGATTGGTGGGGGCCTGGGGCTGGAGGAGCAGGGACGGCGATGGATTAGCAATGTCTGCCCTGGGCAGGGGCGTTGCCAGGACACCCCTTCTGTGTCACCGGTGACCCACGGGAGCTGGTGTCACCTGAGGCGCTGACCCCCCTGCTCTCCCGAGGGCCTTTGGAGCAGGTCCAGAGCCTCCCCGTGCCCACGGAGGCCTGCAGGGCCGACTCGGGCCCCCTCAGCCTCCCTGGCGGCCCTGCTGTTTCCAAGTCTGCCCCTCCCCCCTCTGCCCTGTCACAGCACGTGGCCCCTGCCGACCCCTCTCCTGGACTGTCTGCTTCCAGATGGAGCTCCCCTCCATCACGAGGGTCTCTGTCCCGCCCGCCTGGGTGTCCTCCTGACTCAGCTTTCCTGCCTCGAGGTCACCATCTCGGCCGGAGGTGGTCTTCCCGCGTGTGCCATTCCCTGTGCCCTGCAGGGGAGCGGGGGCTCTGGGCTCTGTGGCCTTCCCTGGACCCAGACCCCTGGGGTCCCTCTCTCAGTCTTGCTCTCTCTTTCAACATACAGGGGTGGGCAAAAGCAGGTTCATCATCATAAATAAATAATACTATCTAATAAAAAAGAGTGGTATGCAAATTAACCACCATTCTGCTACATCCACAAGCCATGCCCATCAGCCAATCAGGAGCAAGTATGTGAATGAACCCCTAACCAAGATGGCTGCGGCCACGGAGCCATCAGGAGGGAGGCTTGGGTTTCCCCAGGGATGAAGGAAGCCAAGCTTTCTACACACCCTGGCCGGCCCAGGCCTCCACTCAAGGCTACAACATTTCAATCATAGAAGACAAATAAATTCCAACAGAAATGGCGGCAGCCACGGAGCTGCAGAGAGCAGGAGGCTAGAGTCTCCCCCAGCGATGGAGGAAGACAAGCTTCTGCAGCCCTGGCCTGCCCTGGTCTCCGCTCCAGGCTACAAAGTTTCCGTTGTAGAAGATAAATAAATCCCAATAACCAGGGCCTCTGCTTGGGTCGCCAGGAGGCATGGCCGGCCTGCAAACCACCACAGGCCCCTCGGCCAGGCCACCCCATGCCCCAAGGGAACCCCCACTCTGAGCCGGGACGTGTATCCGGGGTGGAGTTGTCCATCTGTAACCCAGACCACTATTCCATAACCCAGATGTCCAGGTCTCAGAGGGGCCAGGGAGAGAGGTCTGTGCCCCAGGGGGCGGTCTGTACCTCACCTGCACAACTGGGTGAGGGAATGGTGGTTTAGGTAACGGATGGAGAACTACACCCCTGATACAAGACTGGACTCTGTGTTTCAGGCCTGGGCCCCGGGATAATCTCGCCCGTTCCGCCATGATGATCTGGGACCCGGATGTAGATCTTAGCCTGGGAAGGAGGTCTGGCTCCTGGGAGGGCAGTTCGGGCCAGGGAGAGGCGTATGGGGCCTGGGGGGCAGTCTGGCACCTCCTCTGGATATCTGTGTGATAGAACAGTGGTCTGGTTACACATGGAGATCT